CCCGCCACAACGCCCGGCTATTTTTTGGTTGCAGCCGTCATTGTTGTTTGGCGGGTCCGGGCTGGGGATTCGAACCCGCCACCTTAGGTGTACGTGGCTGACGCCTTAGCCGGTTGAGCTATAGGCGCCGAGCCTAAAAAAGAAATCTTATGAAAAAAGAAATTAATATTGTGCTATGCTACTGGGTGTGGTGGCTCATGCCTGTAATCCTAGCACTCTGGGAGGCTGAGGTGGGTGGATTGCCTGAGCTCCGGAGTTCAAGACCAGCCTGAGCACGAGCGAGACCTCATCTCTAAAATTAGCTGGGTGTTGTGGCAGGTGCCTGTAGTACCTGCTTGGGAGGCTGAGGCAAGAGGATTGCTTGAACCCAAGAGTTTGAGGTTGCTGTGAGCTAAAATGCCTCAGTACTCTACTGAGGGCAACCAAGACACTTTCTATCAAAAGAATAAAAATGTATGTTATGCTTCCTCTTCCCAGCGCACATACAAAGCCAGTATAGTTTTCAGTGGAAACGTTTTACTTTTGGAAGCATTGATAAAGGTATGTGAATCATAGGCAAAGAACTTTGGAACACTGGGTTAATCATAAATGGTAATGTAGGTTAACAGTTCTAGTTATTTAGGAAGCATTTAGTAATGATGATCATCATGTTTTATGGCATTTAGATAATTTCTGAGTGAAAAGTACAATACCTATTCTTCAACGTCTAGGCACAGAAATGTAAAATTCCATTTTGTGCAAGTCTCTTACCACTAACAAGGCACTATCATCAGTGTGCTGAGACCTTCGGGATGGGAAGGGATACTGGAGAGATGGAGAAAAATGAAGCAATGTCAAAAACAAACTATGTACATATGTAATACATTTCACAAATACACACACCAAGAGAAAAACACAGACATACTTTCAAAGATGCTGACATCTAGGGCCACATTCACAATCATCTGGAAATAATGTATTATAACAACAAGTTCATTTTGAGTACTAATTTTTTTTCAAGCAGTTTAAATAACTTCAAATCTGATCTTACCGCCTAAAACCTTCCAAAGCAAAGGGAACAGGAATTATTCTCAGTTCACAAAAGAGAAAGTTGAAGTACAGATGTAACAATAGAGAATTTGTGGTCACGTAGTGAGCCAGTGACACATGATAAACTCCAGAACTATGATTTCTAGACTAGGCATCTCTTCATTACTTTTCCCAGATGAAACATAAGTACAATCGAAAAGTTTAAAATTGTATAAGTTATTTTCTTTTTTTTATTTCTTGAGAGAGTCTCACACAGTCATCCTTGAGTTGAGTGCCATGGCGTTAATAGCTCACAGCAACCTCAAACTCTTCCGGCTCAAGTTATCCTCTTGCCTCAGCCCTCCAAGTAGCTGGGACTACAGGTGCCTGCCACATGCCTGACTATTTTTTAGAGACAGGGTCTCCCTCTTGCTCAGGCTAGTCTCAAACTCCTGAGCTCAAGCAATCTGCCCACCTTGGCCTCCCAGAGTGCTAAGATTACAGACATGAGTTACCTCACCTGAGCTGTATAAGTTATTTTCCTTTGAAGTTTTAGGGAATAAATTATTTGAGAGTGACCATCAGAAAAGAAATGCTGGGGTAAAAAAGACAAAAATATAAAAAATAAAATTTATTAAATTTTAGTTGTCAGAGTTTGTATAAATTATTACCATGTGAAGAAAAGATGACAAAAAGTGCTTAAGTCACTCTTTCAGGTGTTATACCAATACATGTTTTCATATAAATAAAAATAGCTATTATAGGTCCAATGGTACTTAAAGAATACTTTTATTATACACAACTTAAAACATTCCAAGGCTCGGCATCTATAGCTCAACCAGCTAAGGCGCCAGCCACGTACACCTCAGGTGGTGGGTTTGAATCCCCAGCCCGACCCACCAAACAACAATGATGGCTGCAACCAAAAAATAGCCGGGCGTTGTGGCGGGCGCCTGTGGTCCCAGCTACTTGGGAGGTGGAGGCAGGAGACTCGCTTGAGCCCAGGAGTTGGAGGTTGCTGTGAGCTATAATGCCATGGCACTCTACCCAGGGGGACAGCTTGAGGCTCTGTCTTCAAAAAAAAAAAAAAAACATTCCAAGCAATCTACTTTCTATACTAAAAACATCTGTGCTTTAAAAACACTGTGCAGGGTGGCACCCATAGCTTAGTGGGTAGGGTGCCAGCCACATACACCCAGGTTGGTGGGTTTGAACCTGGCCCAGGCCAGCTAAACAAAAATGACAACTGCAACACAAAAATAGCCAGGTGTTGTGGTGGGCACCTGTAGTCCCAGCTACTTGGGAGGCTGAGGCAAGAGAAATGACTTAAGCCCAAGAGTTTGAGGTTGCTGTGAGCTGTGAAGCAACGGCACTCTACCAAGGGTGACATAGAGAGACTCTAACTCAAAAAACTAACAAAACAAAACACTGTGCAGGCGGGGCAAGGTGGTTCGAGGTTGTAATCCTAGCACTCTGGGAGGGCAAGGTACCAGAATCACTTGAGCTCAGGAGTTCTAGACCAGTGTGATCAAGAATGAGAGACCTTGTTTCTACTAAAAAATAGAAAATTTAGCTATGCATGGTGGTGGGCACCTGTAGTCCCAGCTACTCTGGGGGCTGAGGTAGGAGGATCACTTGAACCCAAGAGTTTGAGGTTGCTGAAAGGTAGGCTGATGCTAAGGCACTGTAGCCTAGGGTAACAGTGTGAGAAACTGTCTCCCCACCATCATCAAAAAAGAGGAAACTATAAACAAATAAATACTAAAAATATTGTCCAAAAACTGATGTTTATAAAGTCCCATATGTTGGGCTTTCAAATAACTTAACAAAAAGCAAAGCCAGGGCAGCGCCCATGGCTCAATGAGTAGGGCACTGGCCCCATATACCAAGGGTGGTGGGTTTGAACCCGACCCTGGCCAAACTGCAACAAAAAATAGTCAGGCATTGGTTGTTGTGGGCGCCTGTAGTCCCAGCTACTTGGGAGGCTGAGGCAAGAGAATCGCCTAAGCCCAAGAGCTGGAGGTTGCTGTAAGCTGTGAGCTGTGTTGCCATGGCTCTCTACCAACGGTGACAAACTAAAACTGTGTCTCAAAAAAAAGCAAAGTCAAAATTCATACAAAACAATGACTTTATATATTTTTAAAAGTAATGATCATAAATTGAAAAACTTGAAAATAAAGATAAAGGGAAAATAAAGCCAGGTTTGGTGGCTCACAACTGTAATCTTAGCACTTTGGGAGGCCAAAGTAGGTGGACTGCTTGGGCTCAGGTGTTTGAGACCAGCCTGGGCAAGAGCATGACTCCATCTCCACTAGAAAGAGCAAAACTAGCCAAGTGTCATGGTGGGGTGCCTATAGTCCCAGCTACTCAGAAGGCTGAGGTGAGTGTATCACTTGAGCCCAAAAGTTTGAGGTTACCATGAGCTAAGATGATGCCATGGCTCTCTACCAAGGGATGACAGAGACTCTGTCTCAAAAAAAGGAAAAAAGATAAAGAAAAAATGGTTACTGAGAAAGCCAACTACAAGAAAGATTCATTAAGCGTCATCTGAATAGATCATATAAGTGTGTAAATTTTACAAAAGTCAAGCAATTAATTGTATACATTAACTTGTATAGAAAATATACTATTTGACAATATGCAATAAAGTGTACAAAGTGTAACTGGTAACACTTTGCAGATGCAGGAGTGTCCACCTGTGGCCAACTGGTTATATGCCACATGCAGATTATGTGAGAACTTTCTGCTTATCTATGATGGCAGATACCAGGAAAATGATGGACAGAACTTTGTTTTTGTTCATCAGCTTTCACTAGTGTTTGTATACTTAATATGTGGCCCAAGAAAACTCTTCTTCCAATGTGTGGAAGAGAAGAAAAAAGTTTTAACAGCCCTGATAGTTCTTTTTCTTAATACTGATACCATTTACCCATACCTGATATAGCTGTCAGGACTATTACTAAACAGTATCATTGAAAACGGATAAGAGGTGGAAGGTGCCTCTGGTGGGGGTGGGAGAGGGAATATAATTTCTATATGGATGTATGTAGATGAAAAAAGGCCCAGTGCACAGATTCTCATAAGTTCCTTTGGTCTATACCTTCTTCCTCATAAGAGAATTTTCTGAAGGGAAAAAAAATATGGCAATATTCTGATTGCTGAAAATTAAATAATCACATGCAAAAGTGAACTGGAGGTAGGCAGAAAAATAAATCACATGCAGTACATTTCATTTCCATTGCAAAAATAATAAATTCCAAAGAAAAGGTGATCATATAGACTTACCTCATCATCTAAAGGGGGTTGTTGTTTTTGTGGACTTTGTGATGCTTTTTGCTATACATCCCCAACCCCCCCCACAAAAGAGAAGTTGGTTAGAATCTGAAACAGTGAAAATAATAGATTCTATATTTACTAAAATAGTAACATCAATTCCTTCATTTTTTTTTTTTTTGAGGCAGAGTCTCACTATGTCACCCTCAATAGAGTACCATAGTATCACAGCTCACAGAAACCTCAAACTCTTGGGCTTAAGCGATTCTCTTGCCTCAGTCTCCCAAGTAGCTGGGACTGCAGGCACCCGCAAGAACGTCCGGCTATTTTGTTGTTGTTCTCATTGTTGTTTAGCTGGCCCGGCCAAGTTCAAACTCGCCACCCTCAGTGTATGTGGCTGGTGCTGTGATCACTGTGTATGGGTGCTAAGCCAATTCCTTCATTTCTTATAATATAGCACTTTCCTTTTTTTTTTTTCTTGAGATAGAGTCTGACTATGTCGCCCTTGGTAGAGTGCTATGGTGTCACAGCTCACAGCAACCTCAAACTCCTAGGCTCAAGTAATTCTCCAGCCTCAGCCTCCCAAGTAGTTGGGACTACAGGCACCCACCACAACACCTGGCCATTTTTTTTTGTTGTAGTTGTCATTGTTGTTTGGCAGGCCCAGGATGGGTTTGAACCTGCCAGCCCTGGTGTATGTGGCCGGCGCCCTAGCTGCCGAGCCACAGGTGCCCAGCCAATATAGCACTTTTCTAAATTTTTTTTTTTTTTTTTTTTTTTGAGACAGAGCCTCACCCCCCCCCCCCCCCCCCCACCCCCGGGCCCC